GAAAATACTGAAATAGGCCAACAGGAAGGGAAAGAACACCCTGACTTTTTATATCTCCATAGGGCTTGAAGAGGCCTAAAGTCAACATTTGTCTTGAAAATGCTATGAAAAGACCATTAATTACTCCCAAACCAAACCAATAATATTACTCTTTGTATTCAAAATACAATAAACTACAGTTATGTTGAACGGAAAGGGACCACACTTTTCTGCTAAAATGTACAAGTTCCTCGCTTTTAACTTCAAGTGCCTTGCATTTGTTTAGTAAAAATCTGTACACAGGCTTCCCTTAACTTCTACAATGCTTTATTACACCAAATTATCATGGTTCTACATACATGTATCTACAATTGACAAAATAAGATAAAATCTGCAATGGGTGATTAACAATATGGTCAGAGTGAAATATTTTGTCATTAACTCGATTTATCGTCTTTGTACATCGCAGCATTTTGATACGGACACAGAAGATCTGGCAGGGTTGAAGTGGTCTCCTGATGGCCGTGTTCTGGGTGTGTGGGAGTCGCCTGTCAGTGTAAGTTACAGTTCCCTCTCAGACTTGTATGTTGTTGCTGCAGGGTGCATCTCTGTGAAGATCTGACCACCTCTTCATGAGAGCATGTAACAGGGGAATGTCCTGATCAGCGAGTCAGTGAATTGGACATTATATAGTTGTGAATGTTTTACACACCTGTCATTCCTGCTCTACAACCAATGGGAAGTACTGCAGAGGGGAATATTTGTCTGTATGGACATTCTTTGGAACTGTGTTAAAATGAAATTTTAATCATTTTAGAAAAGCTAACTGCTCAAATCCTGCACATCCTTAATAGTTTAATAACAGCAATGATTGTTCACTGGGTTTACGGGACACAACTGTCTATGGAGTGATGTCAGAACTGATTTGAATATTTACAATGTTATACAAAACGTGCCTGTTTGAGATAATTACAATGTAAGTTTCACTTGACGTCAATAACACAAACTAAGTAGTCCTAAGGGTCTTGTGTTAGCCTGGCACCAACTGTAGGTCAGTGTTTAAGCCTGTGCATGGACAAAAACTCCCACAGACCAAACATAAAGCTTTTTAGTACTAGCCCCTTGAATAGTGTGTTTGCCTGCCTCACAATAAATCTTGGTTCAAATCTCTGCATGGACATTGTGTAAAGCTTGTTCAATGCTGGCTTCTTATCTTAAGGCTTACTGTTGTGGCCATGCAGACGGGACCATTTGTATACAGCTAAATCTCTAGATTTGATCCATTTCTGTCATAATGGACAAATATAAATTGTTAATGTTATCCAAGTCCAGAAATTATGAAAATAGTTACTTACGTTCCAAACACTAGATTTGGTATTATAAAAGTGCTTCGTTTCACACTGCTAATTCACCATGGAAAGTATGCAGTATGATTGGTCATTACAACAGGCCACAATGTAACTGAAGACATAATGTTTAGGAGGTGTTAATTATCACCTGTGTGTGACTTGCTGAACTGCTAGACTCTGACCTAGTTGAGGTAATATGAGGGATGTATCAGGTTATGCTTGCAATGTATAGACATGAAGTGATGCCCTTGTGTGCCCCCAGGGGTGGGTGGGAGACATGGGGTGGTGGGAGACATGGGGGTGTGTGGGGGGTGGGTATATGGAGGGTGGGGTTGTTTCCTGGAGGTAACATGGGGATGCATCAGGTTATGCTAGCAATGTATAGACATGAAGTGATTCCCTTGTGTGTCCCCAGGGGTGGGTGGGAGACACTGGCTGGTGTATGGGGAGGTGGGTTGGGAGATAGGGGTGGTGTATGGGGGTGGGGGTTGTTTCCTGGAGGTAACATGGGGAATGTATCACATTATGCTCACAATGTATAGACATGAAGTGTGATTACCTCGTGTCAATTGCGCCTCAGGGTGGGGGGTGGGTGTATGGGGGTGGGGTGACACCTAATCACAGCCCCAGTGGGATGGCTGAGTACTTGCCTCGTACTCCAGAATCAGTGACACACAGCTATTCAGCTTGAATATGTATTGACGGTTTGTTTCCCTGGCCATGCCACAACAACTTGTCAAGAAGCACATGTTTGTCTGTTACAGTCAGCAATGTATTGTTTGGTTTAATCATTTGTTAATTATTACTTTTATGTAAACTTCAAGGGTAAAATGCTGGCACATCCGATGGTATTAGTTATTCATGATATTCATGTTTGTAAAGTGAGCTACAAAAACAAGAAAAGACGAGTTACATGAAGGATGTGGATGATCTATATCAGCTGGACAGCTTTGGTAGCAGAAGCAGACGTGAACCACAAACACGGAGACATTTCCCCGAGAATATAACATCAAAGAGGAAGGTTCTTTTTTCAGGTTGTAAATATGTTCTATCATATATCCCCCGTGGCAGCCTGGGTGGGGGTCCTTCAAGTGGCACTTATTGTACACTTGGTGATCTTAGCGTATAGCACTTTGTGTATTGATGTATGCATTTGACTTTGATGAACTGAGATTGTCAACTGCAGGTTTTGCTCTTGACTTTGTAACTGATATACATGTTCTTCGAGAGTGTTTGAATCTGTAATAGGTTGTGTCATTATTAAACTGTGCATGAAGAAACCAAAAGTGATATTTCGATCACTCAGATACTAAACTTAGGTGTTAAATTCTTCGTCTATGGACTCAAGAACTCTGTGAAGTCAATAAATCTTGTATATTTATGTGAGTTGTGAAAGTTTTACTACCAGTTGTCGGTCTCTGAGCAGGTACAGGTCTGGAGAGGCTACATATGCCTGACAACTAATGAACTAGCTAATCCTGATGGTGTAATGAAGTATTGTAACTAATTAATGCCCTCGTTAACTTGATAGTGTCATGCCATGTCACAGATATGTTAATTATGTTGTCTGTGTAGGTACGACTGATAGATTGGATTAGGTTAGTGTAACGACATCCAGCACAGATCTGTTGATTACCTCACTGTGTCAGAGTTAACAGCGACTTAGATAACTGCTATTGGGGGGATTAGATAGTATCAGTCAGACGTTTATAGATATGTCAACGACGTAATTACATGCACCACTCAAGCAGTACTGCACTTGTAAACCGAGCTTAACGAGGTCATCACCTAAATAAGGATGTCAGTCTCACACTCACTCACACTCACACACACACACAAAAAAAACCCCAACAACAACAAAACAAAACCAAAAACAAAAAAACAAAACAAACACAGACACAAAACACACACAAACACAACACAACACAACACACACAGAGCTGTCAAACATAACAATATTCTTATATGGGTACGTACTGATATCATGAACCCCAAATATAATGATATTCTTATATCAGCGTTCAAAGTACCGGCCTGCCCGTCTGCCCGGGACAGGTTATTTTCAACACGGACTGCCAGATTCTCAAATTCACCTGCCCGACGGTCGGGTTAAAATTTAGACATGTATATGAAGATATTTTATGGTCAGGTAAGTTTTGGTCAGGGCTGACAAGTTTTTAATCTAACCAGTCCTGTGGTCTGGCTGAAATTTTTGGGAGTTTCATACCCTGCTTATATGGGTACATACTAAAATCATGTCGTACCCCAAACATAACGATATGCTTATATGGGTACATACTAAAATCATGTCGTACCCCAAACATGACAATATGCTTATATGGGTTCGGGCAGTGGGGTAGCCTAGTGGTTAAAGTGTTCACTCGTCCCGCTGTAGACCTGGCTTCGATTCTACGAGTGAGCAGAATGTGTGAAGCCCATTTCTGGTGTGTCTCTCTCTCTCTTACCAATATGCTTATATGTGTACATATTGAAATCATGTTGTACACCAATGATAACGATATGCTTATATGTGTACCTGCTGAAATCATGTCGTACCCCAAACATAGCAATATACTTATATGGGTACATACTGAAATCATGTTGTACCCTAAACGTAACAACATACTAAAATGGGTACACAATATGTCCCTCCACCCCACCCACATGACACCCAAATAACCCACATGACACACCCAAATAACACACCCAAATAACCCATGTGACACACCCAAATAACCTACACGACACACCCAAATAACCCATGCCACACCCAAATAACCCACACGACACACCGAAAATAACCCATGTGACACACCCAAATAACCCACATGACACACCCAAATAACCCACGTGACACACCCAAATAACCCACGTGACACACCCAAATAACCCACGTGACACACCCAAATAACCCACGTGACACACCCAAATAACCCACTTGACACACCCAAATTACTCACATGACACCCAAATAATGTTACCTCCACCACTCTCACACAGCGCACCCAGATAGCCCAAATGACACACCCAGATAATACCGCCCCCCCAACCCACAACACCTAAATAATGCTTCCATCACGATACCCATGTCACGATTCAATACAGAGCACAATACCTATTTTCGTAGCATTATTGCATAAATTTAGTTACATTTTGAACATTAATATTACATATTTTATAATTTTCCATGAAAAGATCAACATTTTTTATTCTCAGAGATTAAAAAGTTCTAATTTCCCATCTTTGTGCATGAAAAATAATCATTTATTACTCTCATAACATAAAAAAACATGGTACAATTGCAAAATGTAAACGATACATATATTTAAACCGATACTTTCAAAACTAAATATCGATACAGTTTTGAATGTATCGATAATTGTATTGTCTTAAAGAAAGTATCGATGCATCGTGGCATCCCTACAAAACACACACTGCAATAATGCTAGGTCCAAACCCCCCACCCCATAACACACCCCAATTACACCCTTTGCGTGTACCCACATGGACACACACCTCCCCACCACTCCACCATAGCTGTACCCGGTGATGTCCCCTCCCAACATGGCCAGCCCCCACCTCCACAGGTGCTACCCTGGCACTACAGGTAGGTATACCTGCTCTTCCTGTTGTTGACACATGTAAACAAATCCACACAAAGCTGAGGCTCACCTGCATCCAGGGTTAAATGTATACGTGGCCATCTTGTACATAGGGCAGTGACGATAGAAGGACGGATGATCTAGAGGATAAGTCCACTGGTTTCAAAACATCAGCTGTCAAACTTTGTGGTTGCTATGGCAACCAGGTGAGATGGACGGAGAAGAAATCCTGCTTTGTGTGTAGATAGGGTCAGCACCTGTAATTAAGGATAAAGACAAGTGTGTAAGCCACTGGTCAGATGAGCCCCTGCGGTCATCCCAGTCTCTCCCCCCAACTTGCTTTCAAGGGACGAGTCGGAGAGTGTTAAAACTGGAGGTTGTTATTGTACAGGTCCTGGTTGAGTGATCTGCACATTTGTTGTGCTTCGTTGGTTCTGTAATCTTCTTCAGCGTCAGTTTCGAGGAAGTTGGTTCCGCTAGCCCTCCAAGATGTCTTGTGTTATAATTCCACCTATTCAGATTTGTCTTTGCAAAATGATTCAGTCAGCTGTGTGGGGTCATTTTCTGTGAGCAGTGTCTGATTTAATTGATGAGGAAAAGTTTATAGCTTGTCTGGAGAGGGGTTGGTTTTCAGATAAAGGGATGTAATTAGAATTTCTGGAGAGTCTTTTATATAAGCCAGGCCATTTGTGTCGTCATTTCGAAAGATGCTGTACGTCTTTGTTCACTAACAAATCTTGTAATGCCAGCTGCTGTATCAACGTGTTAAAACAGAACCAAGTCGAACTTTTGAAATTTATGAAAGTTTAGATTTTATTAGTGGAGGTGTATGATTGAAAATCTACTTATTAGAGCTTTTGTGAATTTATGACAAATGCGCAGCAATTCATTGCTTCATGCCGAGAGATGTTTCAATATGTCTACAGTGTACAGTTACAGTGAAGTTTATAAACTGCCACAGAATAAGGACTCTACACTGACTGTAAATAAGAAATATGCTTGCTGATGGGAACTAGACTAGAGAAACTGACATAAAGGTGGCAGTGGGATATTGTGGGTCACTGGATTGTCTGGTCCTCGATTAGCGACGTACTGCAGTAACATGTCGAGAGTGTTTCATTAAGCAACAAACAAATAAATAAAATATTATGCATTTCAGAATAAATGAGAGACAGAATATCACTGGCGTAACTCTGGAATAAAAGAAACTAGTTGCTGTACGTGCTGAGTGAGTGGCTCGCTCCAATGTCGGTCATATGTGTGGAAAACACAAGTTTGTGATTTTTTGGCTAAAAGGCAGATTCCTCTGCCACATTCCCCCTTAGAGGGGCGGTGGGGTAGCCTAGTGGTTAAAGAGTTCGCTCGTCGTGCTGAAGACTGGGATCGATTCCCCACATGGGTACAATGTGTGAACCCCATTTCTTGTGTCCCCAGCCATGATATTGCTGGAATGTTGCTAAAAGCAGTGTAAAACTAAACTCACTCACTCGCTCCTCAGATGTTAGTAGCCTGATGTCACCAGACCACTGGTGAAAGTAGCATTCAAGCGTACATGCACTGATTCACTTGTCAAGTATAAATTTTTTTTAATGCAGTCATAGGTTGTTGTCAATAGTCATTGTGTACAGTTGCTTGAATATAATCAAATTTGTCAATTATTTTGATGTGACTTTTCTCTATTATGGCAACCATTGAAAACTACAATTAGTGAATGCTTGGATTTGATGAGTTGTATTACCCTATCAAGAAATAGAGTCAATCAAAAACATTAATTGCAAAGCAGTTCGCGCATGACAAGAATTGACTTATTTCAGTTGGGACACAGTTGAGTTTTACACAGAATGAACTGATTTTGAAAACTGTATCACCAGAGGAACTTTATACATCACTGACTTTTGTAGTAGCATAATTAGAATATGTTGGGGTAATAGGTAATAATTGTATTTCAAGTTGTTCACAGACATTGATTACTGGGCTTTCTGTTTCTGATGACTGCTCATGGAGAAAATGTATTCATTAAACATGTTGCTGCTGTTCGTTAAGTTTAGGTCCGTTTATCTGGTGTGTCTTCAATCTACTTTGCCAGTTTTCTCATTAGAGAGTGGAGAGCGTCAGTGATAGTGTAGATCTTAGGATGAACTAATGGTGTTGTACTTGTTCATTTTTTCCACTTAATTTATTTCCTAGAACAGCTGTCTAATATGTGCAAAGTATTTCTTTGAAGAAAGTTGTCTGATATAAATAGTTGCATCCCTACATCTTAGAGACTGGAAGCTCTGTAGACCGAATGATGATAAGAGTTGGTTGTGGGTACCCAGCCTGGCATTATCTCGCGTGAAACGTGAATGAACTATTTCTCCCCATCAAACTTCATAGAAATGTGATTTTCCCAGTTTGCCCTGTCTCTCAGTGGAGTAGCTGAGCATGTTAAGTTTCTGATAAAGAAAGATCACAGAACGCAACTATCAACTATAGAATCGGGTAGATATAGATAGGTTCAAAGGTCATGTGAAATCAGCCTGTATTGTTCTGTAGATATACCAGGGTACATTTATCTGATCTCCGGGGAGAAGAGTTATCTCAAGCTATGTCTCGTGTCACGGAGACAAGGGAGGAGGCCATTACAGCTTCTAAAGGAACATTCATATGGCTGGTGTACTAGTCGGGGGATAGTGTGGTAGTCGGGGTAGGGGTGGGGTGGTAGTCGGGGGGATGGCATGGTAGTCGGGGATAGTGGGATAGTTGGGGGATAGTGGGTAGTCGGGGGATAGTGGGTAGTCAGGGGATATTGGGGATAGTCGGATAGTGGGTAGTCATGGGGATATTGGGTAGTCGGGGATATTGGGTAGTCGGGGGGTAGTCAGGGGATAGCGGGTGGCAGGGGAGGGATAGTCAGGGGATAGTGGGTAGTCGGGGGTAGTCAGGGGATATTGGCGGTAGTGGGATAGTGGGGTAGTCAGGGGATTGTGGGTAGTCGGGGGTAGTCAGGGGATAGTGGGTAGTTGGGGGATATTGGGGGGGTAGTCAGGTAGTTGGTGGAATAGTGGGTAGTCAGGGGGATAGTGTGGTATTTGGGGAATGGCGTGGTAGTCGGGGGATAATGTGGTAGTCAAAGAATAGTGGTAGCCGGGGCGATATTATTATACTAAAATTGGTACAGCGCCAATATCCAGCTCAGCTGCTCAAAAGCGTTTTGAATTTCTCTCGATCATTGGATGTCCTAATTCAAATGGCACATCATGTGGTAGTCAGGTGAATAGTATGGTAGTCGGGGGAATAGTGAGGTAGTCAAGGGAAGAGATTGGTAGACAGGTGAATAGTGTGGTAGACATGAGAATACTGTGGTAGTCAAGGGAAGAGATTGGAAAACAGGGGAATAGTGTGGTAGACATGAGAATACTGTGGTAGTTAAGGGAAGAGATTGGTAGACATGGGAATAGTGTGGTAGACAGGAGAATATTGTGGTAGTTAAGGGAAGAGATTGGTAGATAGGGGAATAGTGTGGTAGACAGGTGAATATTGTGGTAGTTAAGGGAAGAGATTGGTAGACAGGGGAATAGTGTGGTAGACATGGGAATAGTGTGGTAGACAGGAGAATACGGTGGTAGACATGAGAATACAGTGGTAGTTAAGGGAAGAGATTGGTAGACATGGGAATAGTGTGGTAGACAGGGGAATAGTATGGTAGACAGAATACTGTGGTAGTTAAGGGAAGAGATTGGTAGACATGGGAATAGAGTGGTAGATAGGGGAATAGTGTGGTAGTTAAGGGAAGAGATTGGTAGACATGGGAATAGTGTGGTAGACAAGAGAATACTGTGGTTGTCACAGGAATAGTGAGGAAGTCAGGGGATATAGTGTGGTAGACGGGAATAGAGAGAAAGGAAATTTGAATATGCCAAACGGAAGAATGAAGGATGTGGCTAGTGAGATGCTCTTGTCGTTCTATTGAATTTCCCAGCAAAACCTGCTGCTTGACTTTGGGAAAGAGTGTGATCAGTGTCCTCACAATCAGACTTCAGATAATAATGGTGCTTGGTTGAAAACTCTTGCACTACAATTAAAACCTATCCATGAATTGGCAATATGTTAAGTTATGGTAAGCACATTTAGCTAAAGCACTGTTCTCACTCCTGATATGTTGTCAGTGTTCAAGGTCAGTTATATCGGTTATCCCTGACAAACCTGGTAAAAACACAAAATGGCCATCCTGGGGTCATGAATTCAGAGGTCAAGGTCACTGAGCTATTTCACATGTTTACCATGTTTTTAAGTGGTCAAAGGGTTTTGTCTTATGATACGATCGTTGTGCTATGACTCTGATAAAATATGAATGATTTAAACAATTTTTCAAAAGCCTGAGGATCATGTTTTGTTTGTAAATTCCAGTACAAGATGCTAATCTACTCTCTGGATGGGCGTTGCCTAGCAACCTACACAGCGTATGACTTTGCACTTGGCATCAAGAACATTGCGTGGTCTCCGTCCAGTCAGTTCCTCGCCATTGGCAGCTACGATGAAAAGGTCAGTACTGTGTCACTTGGATTTCCAGAAGTAAACTTCTTCATGTCATGATGACTGCCTCTGTGGTGTAGTGGTATGAACGTTCGTCCGGAGAGCGGAAGGTCGTGGGTTTGATACCCGACTTGTGTCAACCGACTGCGTCATACCAAAAGACATTAAAATATGGTACTTGTTGGTCCCTGCCTGGCGCTCGGCATTAATGGGTACAACAAGGAATGGTCGGCTCGGAGTCAGTATACTGTATCTGAGTGGGGTATTCATGCTTACCTGCGGCATGGTATCTCAGTGGGCTAGCACTATAAAACCAGCTTAAGTCAGGGCTAGTACAAGCAGCCGCACATACACATGCATGAACGTCGTCATATGAGTGAAATATTCTCAAGCACGTTAAACGTTAAACCCAATTTCACCTCGCCTCGCTCGCCTCGCCTCGCCTCGCCTCACCTCACCGTGTCATGACAGGCGAAATTTATTAATATTAAAGTCAGGTGGCTCCTAACTTCTTGTGAGTAGTGTAAGTCAGGCAACAATCAAAGGTACCGCTCTGAACGCTGAAACACCTTCATGACAGTCGGACACAACTTTCTGTCTGTCATCCCATTGTTTGGAGTCAAGCCTGAGAGTCTTGAATGTTACAAGATTTGGGGCATCCATAGATTCAGATACCCTTGAGGAGGCCTGAAGTGGTCCTAACCCTAATGTTACAAGATTTGGGGCATCCCTAGATTCAGATACCCTTGAGGAGGCCTGAAGTGGTCCTAACCCTAATGTTACAAGATTTGGGGCATCCCTAGATTCAGATACCCTTGAGGAGGCCT